GATAAATTTCTCTTACTATGTGCCGTTACTTTTAATTAGCGTTAAATATATATTTTTAAATCGAATTCACTATCAGTGTCATTTTTAAGGTGAATACATTCTTACTCTTCATTGTAATACCATTTGGTTCCCCAGTAGGTCAGCAGGAAGTTAACGGACTTGTAACGCAAAAATCTGGGATTTTATTCTCCGTGGTGGGCAGACCGCGGATAGTCTATTGCGTTTTTTTGCGCTAAAATAACTATTACTACTGTAGTCTATTCCCGCACATTGGAGTCTCAATATTACATCACATGTAGTGAAATCTATTGATTATTTATTACCAAGGATCGATAATTAGTCACCTAGTGTTTCTTGGACCTCATACAACGCAGTTGTAGCTAATTAAAATTTAGTTTATTGTCTAATTATGAGGTAGATAATGATATAAAATCTAGACGGGTATATTTTCTTTCGACTGGGATAAAAAAAAGTATTCTATGGGAATCCTTTTAACTAACTTTTTTTTTTTACCTAGAATATAATTAATTCCTAGAAAACTTCCTCGAGCAGTGAGTTACAAAAATCTTAATATTAACTTTTCATCTGATTGTTACATTACAAGTGGCTGTTTTATAAACAGAAACACTTAACCTGTATTATTCCTATTCAAAATTATTTACTATAGTGAATAAACGATTAATCCACTGTATTTTATTAGACTCCTAGCTCTTAGAACCCACCCTAATTTTCAGTCATTATGGTGTTATGCAAGCCATTACATGTAACAAAAAAAATCTACAGTTCTAGAAACTACACATGGTAATAGACTATAGAAACAACCACATTCTACCAAAATGATTGAATTTTACCCTCCCATCTTTATTCTATCCAAACACAACTTCACTAATCATTTCCAAACCAGAACAAAAAATCTATACTCTGAGTACATTTGATTACACTTTCAGAAATGTGCCAAAGTTTACTTAATTGTTAAATTCAGAATTCAGAGATATTATGTTTTGTTGTTGTTGTTTTAATTTTCCATGTCGTTTCTATGTTTGGGTATTTCACATGTTTTATTGATTTGTAAAGAAAACTTTCGTTTTCAGATCCCCTTCCCCAACCACTAAATTTATGTATTGTATGTTGCGATGGAAATTGATTGGGATTTAAGATATAAAATATTTAGCCGCGGCACAGTGGCTCATAGAATGGCTCTGGGTTTTTCTTTCTTTTTTTTCTCAAGGACAAGCATTTAGCTCTTAGTTCTGTCATTTCTTGACCGATTTGAGATCTAATTACTGTTTTGGACTCAGGAGGTCAAACCCTTTCCACTGATGTATTTGACTACGCCCAAGTATCATAGATTAATTTACTCTAATACTGCCTAAAAGAATTTCAAGTGCCGCGGCTATTGAGGATTCCCTCTTGTTGTAATTGGGATAAAATTTGATTATCTTGCTTTTGTGTCAATCTCTCTAATAATACTGTTAATTTCTGGTTACCTGGTAATTTTAAAGCCAGTGAGAATGCATTGTATCTTAATTCTAATCGTAGGTTGTAGATAGAATAAAAAGTTTCACGTGCTGAAGTTGAAAATTAGCCCACACTACGAACTATTACTACACTTATATCAACTTTCAGCAGTGCCAGTACCAAACTGATGCCAGGTTTATAACAGCGCGAGTACCTTGCTCGCCACATACGGCAAGAGATCTAATACTCTATTGGTGCTAAGTTTGTATTAGCCCTTCGTAGTACCCGGTTTGCAGGAATGTTTATACTTGTATAAACACGAGTACCGTCTTGATACTAATTTTTAAAACTGCCAGTGCCCTACTGATAGAAAATTTGCAGAACCGCAAGTACCCTTGTGTTCTCATATTTTTAGAAGCTAACCATATTTCGTGGGAATATAACCTATATAATGTTTATATCATATTTGCAGAAGTACCGTATTGCTTCTAATTAACGTCCCAGGGGGCATTGCAAACTGTAAAGAGTGGTGCTAATTATAGTACTTGTGCAGTTCTGGGTTCTATTTTTCATATGTGATTTATTGATTTCAATGCTAATAACGGTGTGTGTGTGTTTTTATAATTTTATAATTTGTAATTATAGTACTTGTGCAGTTCCGGGTTCTATTTTTCATATGCGATTTATTGATTTCAATGCTCATAACGGTGTGTGTGTGTTTTTCTTCTCTTTTTTATTTTTTAAATCAAAATTGCGGCAATAAAAGTGAATTATATGTTGTATTACTATTGTTGTCACATAAGGTAAGTTTTATTAAAAAAAACGTAGGGGGGCATTAATTAGGGGCAATACGGTATTTATACCCAACTTACGTCAAAGTTGCCTGGGTGTAAAAACAGTATGTTCTTGTAAGCTTACAGAATTACAAATAATTTATTGATACCTACTTTCAGGAAATGTGACTACTTTCTTGATACCATTTCTATATGAAACGTGACTATTATGATATTGCTAAGCCGCAGGAGAGCGAATACCATGCGGATGCTAACTTACAACCGTACAAGTGCTTGATGCATTCATCTTGTTTTTTCGAGATTGGTATATTTTTGTTACAAAGAAAAGCATAGCATAACCACGATAAAGAAAATGTGGCTGCCTGTGTTTTTGTTCATAATACAGAAACTTAAGCCCCCCCAGACTTACAATGCTAGAATCCGGGTTTCGATACCCGTGGTGGGCAGAGCACAGATAGCCCATTGTGTAGTTTTATGGTTAATTACAAACAAAACAAACAGAAACTTAATTTCACGTGGATGTTTAAAATATTTCTTAGAGTTTAAAATAGCAGTACTTCGGAACGAATATATTTTTTTACTTGCGAAGTTTTAAATTAATATGCTTTTTTTTTCCATTGAGTGATATTTTTCAAATGTTCTGTCAGAAAGTTTTATATCATCTGCTTCTTTTGCCAAAACTAACTGAATTCAGTCGAAAAGCTTGACAGATATCATAAGAGTTTGAAGAACAAATTTTTGTGTGACGTGACTAATAGCCATCGTCACCTATGTTTAAAGTTCAGAGAGATACGCAACAAAACCAACGTTATATCAAAAGATTTTTTTTCAGGGGTATCCTCCCAAACGACCGTCAGCTTATGTCAACAGATAATGCTTTTTTCAGGAGATATACCCCTAAACTACCGTCACTTTATGTTAACAGATAACTTGTTTTTTCACAAGCACTTCAACCCGAAATAGACTAATTGATGTCAACAGATAACATTTCAGAAAGGATTTTAAACCTGAAAAACACTAACGAATAACATTTATTTACTGATTTCAACCCATAATATGCCAGTGCCTTGTTAACAGATAACGTTTTTAAGGGATTTCAACCCATAATGTGCCAACATGATATGATAACAGATAACGTTTTTAATGGATTTCAACCCATAATGTGCCAACATGATATGTTAACAGATAACGTTTTTAATGGATTTCAACCCATAATGTGCCAACATGATATGTTAACAGATAACTTTTCTTAAGGGATCTCAACCCACACCGCTTCAACATCATGTTAACATATAGCTTTTCTGAGAAATCATTTGAGCCACATTTAGCCTACTGGTCAACAGTTGCGTTGGTTAATTGTTTTTCTAAACCGTGTTGAGTGCAATCTTATTACGATTTACAGGAGAATCTTACAATTTCCCACCAAGTAGCGAAAAATTTAATTTGTGGATTTTTAAATGCAATTAATTCGTTCGCTTGTTTCCTTGGGAACGCACTCCAAGCCACTTCTAATTATAATACTAATGTGGGTAGGGAAATATTACGAAACGTATAGAGTTGTAATTAAAGTTGCATGAGGAAACGTTGTTTTTATGGGTTTTGTTGAATAATTATCATGTCTTGTAATTTTTATCGAAAAGCAACTGTAGTGCGCAACCATTAAGTATTTTCGAATTTCTCTAGCACAAAGTTAAATTCATACATTTTTTACACTGTCGTATTTGTTGATAACATTGCGCATGCTCAGAATGACCATGTGAGAGAATTGTCATTATTGTATATAAAGTTTGAAGTATGATATATATAAAACTGAGTTTCAAGAAGTTATATAACTATCTCGTACTTCACGTTTTATATTCAGTAAATGTAGGTATCTAAGATTACCCCACGTAACTCTGACGCGTTTGTAGGTATAAGAAAAACTTGAGCATAATTAAATGCATTATCTCCAAGAAAATACTTAAAGTCATATAAATCAGGTTGTTCAGCATAAGTATTCACAGTTATTAAATACTGTTACATGAGTAGATAACCATCAACAGGAATAATGTTTAAGCTATTAATCAATAAGTTTAATAGACCACAAGTATATTGATTACTTATTATTTAACAATAATGAAATGATGCACATAATTAGGCTAAAAGGTTGTTCAGCATAAGTATTCACAGTTATTAAATACTGTTACATGAGTAGATAACCATCAACAGGAATAATGTTTAAGCTATTAATCAATAAGTTTAATAGACCACAAGTATATTGATTACTTATTATTTAACAATAATGAAATGATGCACATAATTAGGCTAAAATCAAGCCATACTAATCTAAGTATCACAAACAACTATATTTATTGCTTTCGTAAGCCGCCTGGTGGATAACTTATTTTGTGATAGCTATTCAAATAATATTACACAATTGTATAAAGACTGTACAAAAATAAAAGATGGACTGTTACTTAAAGTTCAATTGATAACCAATCAGTTGATACAATATAGAAGTTATTTCTACAATAACAGTTACAGTTACAATTTTGTCTGTAAGTAAAAAAAATATATAATTCAATTGTTACGTAATAAAACAGTTCAATACGAACAGGTTTGAATCATACCACTGTAGTCTGAATGGCAGATACAGCTGTAATTATTGCCTCGGTCGACACATTGGGCGGGACTAGGACAAGGGTTTGGCTGACAGAGGTTCACCTTTATCTGGCATCGTCTACCTTTATAGCCTGGACCACAGTGACATCTGTATCCGGCTACCAGGTCTTCACACGCTCCTCCATTGACGCAAGGATTTGAATCACACTCGTCGTACTCAAACTCACAGTGATCACCTCCAAAACCTGCAAGTTAAACTTTCACATTCATGCAACTAAAACGAGAAATTTATGTAAGTGTGTGTGTGTGTGTATGTATATATATATATATATATATATACCAAATACTCGTTGAAAAAACATTTAATTTAAACAGAATTTACTTGAAACATAATAACAGCGTATGCCAATTCTCAATCATAATTTAATGGTAAAAATGTTATGATTTAAGAGAATTTTCGGTGGATAGAGTTTAAAGATGTTTTGAATCTTTGACTTCTGATGTATGTGCGTAACTCTTATTTAGAATACAAGTTTGGGATCTTTGAAATCCGCAAGAATCTCTTACACAAAGAAATCAACTTTTTGTATATAAAACTTGACAACCCTCTTAACGTTAAGAAATAAATCGTACACAAAACGACATACTTATGATTAAGTGAAATTTTCTATTATCTATTACCTAAGAGGTAAAATGATACACTTTCTAACTGCTTGGCCGTGAATGCTAATTTTTTACAATGTACTATTACTGTAAAATGAAAAGTCTCCTACGTGCCAATTTATAATGAGTGTTTATTGTTCACGATCTTTAGTTCCAATTTGCACATAAAATCACCTTGTCCCTAACCATCCACAAAGCTTATAATAACATAAGTTAAAAGCCCTGGCCCTCTTATCGCAATCCAACTCTAGTGTGGCGATTTGCAAGTACACATAATGCCTAAAGTTGATCCCTTCTTGAAGGGATACATTACAGGATTTTCCACTATGAATTCTCATATTCTGCGATTATAAAAGCATGCAAAGACTGGGTATCTTTATTGTTGAACTGTATCAGTAAAGTAAGGGAAAGCGTGATACCAGAGAGGAAAAGACAGGCTACTCCACGAGTGACTACAGTCGTAGACCAGAGGTAGTGAAGAAACAACTTGTCATTGGGGGTAACCAGATAATGCAGCAGTCCTAACCAAAGTATCCATGTCAACATGACAGATCTTTCACAACATTCATATACAAAGGAAAATGCATGCTATATCATTCGTGATTAAATCAACAGATGGATCTCCTATGGACTTCAGTGACTTTGGGTTACTCGAATTAGCCTTTTGTGGTTTCATTGTACGGTTGATGGACTGAGTATCTATAGAAATGTGGGGGACCTCAGGGTACTAAATGAAAGCCTCCTACAGTGAATATCGTGCTCAGACACACCCATCCTTATATCACTAACGTCTATCGTTGATTCGTGGATATCTCCTTGTAATTTCATAACTACGACTGTATTGTACCTCGTTATGATTAGATAGAAGTTAAAACCTTCTATACTTGTTTATTAATTACTCAGAAGGTAAGTAAAAATTATATGTATACAATATAGGATAATTTTTGTTGTTGTTACATAATTAATTCGTTAGGCATTCTTTTCCTCTAAATCAAACTTGCGATAACATTTTATAGTATCCAAATGAATAATAGTATTAGATTTTACAACTATTAAGTGTTGAAAGGATATTTATTGAGATTAATGTATAAATATTCCAATACAAATATTATAGTTGAAGGACTTACCAGGTAGACAATAACAGGTGAAAGTAGCCGTTCCATCCTCACATACTCCATGGACACAAGGGCTCGAGAGACACTCATTAATATCTACTTCACAGTTGTGACCACTAAATCCTGCTGGACACTCACACCAGTAACTTGTTTCATTACTCTTACACGTGGCGTTGTTCAAGCATGGTATCTTGTCACACATACTTTTCTTTTCCTCACATGAATGACCACGAAATCCTTCGATTATGCAAAAAATAGCGAATTGATTATGAGGTACACACTTAACACTTGTACGAGTTTCTTCTCATAGAAACAATGAACTCCTCACCTGTTAACTAGTTTTAAATTAGGTACTCTTAGTACTTCTTTTTTATGTTTTTTTTTATAGTGTACTCTCTTACCATTAACAGTTTTTAGGCAATGCTGATCAGAATTACATAGTTTTTTTTCTCTTATGATTTGAAGCATATCCATAAAACAAAACATTCATATAATGCTATTTGTAAACAGAAAGAGGATGGGTAAAATATATAATATGCTTTTAAAAGATTTTTTTTATCACTTCAATAGTTTAAAAATATAACACTTCCCAGATTTGTTAGCACTTTAATAGTTTAAACATATGACACTTCTTAGATTTGTTGATTATAAAATGCTGATACACAAATAATAATAAGATTTCAGAAATTATTTCGAATCACTCTATGCATAGAACGCTGAAAAGCTTTGAAAAGGAAAAGGATTTATCAGAATGAAATTGAGCCCACTCTTTATTTAGATATATTGTGTTCACATTATCAAATTAATCTTGTGAACCTAATTTCTTTGTACTATTTGAGTCCAAAGAAGAACATTACTAACGACATGTGTACAACAAACCACTTCTCTTGCGTCTGCACAACTGGTTCCTTTTGTATCAATGAGCTCCAGCAGGGATGGCAATATTATACATAACAAAGCCCATGTGTTCTAACTTTAAATGGTACAACAACTGAGTACGTTTTTGGCATATAACATACTTGGCATTATTATTGTCCATTAACTTTATGTTTAGCTTTAGGCTCTATAGGGCTTGAGTAATCTGATTTCCTCGAGGTTGCACCAGGAGTGAAATGCGAAGAAGAAGCGTAGTTTCGATTACTTCTTATCAGTTTCACTGTCAAGTTGAGGGAGTAATAGTATTTTTAATAGTAATTAGTACAAATGACACGTTCTACAGCAGGAATTTTCTTCTCACTTTAAAAGTATCTCTTTAGTTTAGGTCCACACTTCAGTCGCACATAATACATTTATATTCCTCTGGAATGACTCAATAATGTCTCGCTAACGTTCTTCAAATAAGTCTTATAAATCATTCAGTAAACAACGTGGTAAAATATTATTGATCCAGTAGCAACAGAAGTAGATAAATTTCGTTGGATAATCTAACTTGTACTGTGTAACCATGCGATTGATTCTATTGAACAAGCTACAACCTAACTGGCTAATACCTATGCTGTACATCAGATTGGTGTAATTTATCCAGCGCTTACCTTATGCATGTTGTACATCTTCGTCACAAGATGTAAACGCTTCGAAATACAATAAAAGACGGATCTTGGCACTTTACCTCGAACAACAATTTTTAAGACAAAATAGCCACAATATAATCTTTAATATTAAACATATAAAGATAGACAACATATTAAAATCTAACCTTGCTTAAAGATGGCGCATACATTAAAAATGGTTGCAAAGTAAAAAATTACCTTAAACTAATCAAATCTGCACAAGTAGGCCTATGTATGATTTGATACATATGGAAAAAATAGCGATGTGGCCATAAGTCAACTCATTTCTGCATATATAACCTATGGTAGTTGCATTACATGCGAAACAATTTCCATAGTAAATATTTATTTTTTTGTAGTCCCATACAGGCAAAATTCCCATCTTGTAGACGTGTTCTTTATACAAGTAAAAGTTTTCTACGACAGATAAATTGGTTTAAAACTCTATAACAGAAAATGGAAGTACTCATTAGCTCAAAAACATGTAACCATAATTATGATATATACTGCTCAAACAAATAAGAGAGTCTATCAAACCTTTATATTTTGTTGTTGTTTTGTTTTTCTGTTTCTTTAGCTTCTTTTTCTTTGTTATGCGTCTGTACAAAAATCTGTTTGTCACCTTACTAGGTATGCGTTTTTTTTTAAGCAACCGAAACTTCCAGAAGTGTGTACTTTATCGATTTTGAGGAGGTTGGTCTCCCTCTCCACTTATGACGTTTTGTCAACAGATTCCACTTGTTTCTATTATATCTGACGTTTAGTCTGTGTTTTCTACTGGAAACTCGTTGCCATGGTGACAACAGTGAAACCAGGATTAAGAAATGATGGACTTGCAACAATTGAAAAATTCTTGAACTTTCTGTTTTCAGCTTGTTGCAAAGTATTGTTAGCGAGATTTGAATAGAATCACAAGTTAATACCGTTTTAAATAACAACTTGAAGTGTACTAAATATTACATATTCATTTAATCTATATACTATTAAAACTCTGAGATTGTTTGTTTGCTTGTCTGTAACTAAATACAACAAAAACGGCGCATAATATGAGAAATGAGAATAGAAACAGAATAAAAAGTTTCGTTGAAATTGGGCCATGGGTTACCGAGTTAGCGCCGTTTTTCGGGTCATTTTTATGAAAATGTCTAGCATGAGTAATTTTATATCACACTATCGTTCGCGCTCTTTACGAAACTTCTTCGTTCAAATCTATTTCCCTGTCAATTTTCCCATCTTCATTAAAAGGCTTAAGATGACGAAAACAAGATCTTGAAGAATTTCTCAATAATGTGCCTTGGTTGTGGTAGGTAAGGAAATGAGAAAATTTTCTCAGTCAAATTCTCCATAACCTCTGAATAGTAAGTGATCCAACGGGTCACGGACTGTCTAGTCTATACTAAAAACCAGAAATACAACTGTTCGTTTTCATAACAATAATCATAGCCCTTATCAAACGAAACACCAAGAGTCACAGTGTATAGTCCCATACTGGGTCACCGATAGTGGTCAGAGCGCAGATATCCTACTATGTAACTTTGTGTTGAAAATAAACAAACAAATAACGGTGTATAAAAAAAAGCGTAATCTTTTCACAAATACTATTATATAAAGCTGTAAAAACAAGTAAAAGAATGCAGGTTTAATGACATAAAACAAAAAATAACACAAGTTAAATATTCTTCTAGATGCATTTTAGAAAAACTGAAAGTAGAAAAAAAAATGTTTTGGTGCAATTGTGCAATTACTTATGCATATACTTAGCCAAGTGTAGAATTTCTTTGTATTTAATATAAGAATATGATCCTCATTCAGTACCACAGTGGGCCAGCGGTAAGTTTACAAATTTACAATGTTACAATCCGTGGTTTAATTCCCCGTGGTGAACAGAGCGCCGATAGTTTTTTTTTTTTTTGTAGCTTTGTGCTAAAACCAAACGAATAAATCTTTATTCAACCGATAAGTTTTATTATTTTAATTAATAATTTTAATCGGTTTAATTTTCATTATATATTTATGCTTCATATAAGTTAAACTGAATCATTTATTATATCTCCTTAAGTCTCGAGCAGCTTCACGATACGGTTAAAATCAGTGTAGACTTTCTTTTAAATAAGTTAATTTTTTTCATTTTACCTGTTGAATAATAGATTCTCAAACAATACTGATTTTCACGGGAGTCATGGTAACTTATCCCATGTTTAAACGCCATGCCCAATAAAAATATAGAATAAAACAGCTGTTATCAAATTTATTTTTAAATAAATCTAATTAACACAAAATTGACTAAAAATGAGAAAATCATAACTTCAAACCGTCGCCGTTTAATGATTTTTGTTTCTCTAGTTCCTCATATTTAAGGCGCAGCGGAAAGTCTGCGGACTTATAACACTAGAAACTGGAGTTTGATACCCTTGGTGGGCTAGCACAGGTAGCCAATTGTGCAGCTTTGTGCTTAACTACAAACATAAAAACAAACAAACGTTATTAATACTTGATATTTTAAATACAATATAGAGGTATTTGACGTTTCATCTTAATCCCTTATGTTTAAATAGAATATCATCCACAAGAGAACCTTGGGGTCTATTGAGTAAACATTGTGCCGGAAATACTAACGAACATACTATAAAAATCAAAATGTTTTTATCTATCAAAATAATTACAATATTCGATTTTTAATACGCAATTAGTAAAATGCACAAAATTTTCAAACAAGACGAATGATATAATATTAAAATAAAAAAGTATAAACACGTTTCGTGTTGTTTATAATAGTATAAACTAACTGGTAAAATTTCAATGGAGTTAAATTCCTGAACCCGCTTTAAATTACTTCTGCCAGATACTGGTTTAGAAAACATCCCTAACTTTAAGGCATTGACAAGAATAAACCAAACACAGACCGTAAGGACACAAACAGTGGTAGGCACTGCCACTTATCCCTTCCGTTATATCCACGCAATATCCGTCGTTTTTACAGGGGTTACCATGACAGCCATCTCGTTCTTCACAGTATCGCCCGGTGAAACTAGAACAACATAGGCACGTGAAGGACAACTGGAAAAGAAAATTAATGTAACTTAAACACATCACAGAGGTATACAATATGTATTTAATATATTTTGACGAAATAAGTATATTCGTTAATCACGTGTTTGGAAAAATGAAATTTTAAGATTTTCCCCCCAAAACTTCACTACAGCAGACATGAGTTGAATACAATAAGAGCAATACTGTGATATTTTTAACTTGACAAAAACTATAAAGTATGCATCCTATGTCGCACAGGAGCACCATATCAAGTTCTATCATATAACATCTAAAATTACAAGGACAAGTATGTCTGCATGCGTTGTAAATATGTACTAAATGTAAATCTTTATCTTTGTCAGCCCAATATTCAACGTAAATCCATAATCACGTTAAACTCTAAAAGTTAAGTCAACATTTATGATTATTTACATGTAATCAAACCAGATGTCGCTTATTTGACATGTCTCCTTCCATCAAGTAACACCCTCTACAAAATTAAACTTCAACCTACTGTTTCATCTAGGTATAATCGTTTTTAACTTACTCGTAATAATTTGAGAATTATGAGCGAACATGACGCTTTTGAATTTCAAAAAGGTCCTTTACCTTAGATACTTTTACTCTAAAATTAGGTATGTTTTCAGGAATATGTTGGTAAAGTTATATGCGCATTTAAAAGATACACTTCAGATAAAGGTATTTGAGTATCCATTGTTTTGAATACCAGTGGCCATTTATTTCTTCTCAAAAGTCCCCCAAGTTGCATTCCAGCAATACTTTTTTGGAGAGACTGTGGCTATGGAGGACTTCTAAGAATAACAACCAGGCTGCTGCTACTTTTAATTTTCGCACGAAATAGGTTTGGTTTGGTTGTATACGAAGCAAAGCCACATTGAGCTATCTGCTGTGTACATTGCAGAGAATCAAACCCCAGATTTTAGCGCTTTAAATCCGCAGACTGGGAGGTATGAAACAGTTATTTATATATATACAAAATGATTTCTTCATATGATAACTTAGCTCCGAGATTACAAAAACTGCTTTACTATAAATAATCTTTTCTGTTTTTTGTTTTTGTTCCACCTGCATTACGCCTTTGAACATGAGTAAGGGTTCGTTGTATATTTGTTCTCCATTTTGTGATTCACTTAAAAACGGAACAGTACACAGTTAAAAAAAAAGAAACAATAATAAGGTAAGACATGTATGGGTTCTAGACTATTGGTTTGGTATTAATTTTTACGCGTTCCAAGCACTTCCTGGAGCTGAACTTGAACAAATAATACGACTTGAGTTGTACTTAACAGGAAGTAAGCTGTTTCAGCACTAAATTGCTTACCTTTTCCTCGTCGCTAACACACATGCCTTTTCCTGAACACAACAAATCATCTGGTGTCTGCATACACTCCTGCGGCTGAACTGTAATGTTTAATCTCCAAACCAGAGTACAGTTGAAATTAGATGTTTTCAGGGTCACTGAAACGATAAAAATAGCCTCATAAATATTTCATACAATACAATTTCGTGTTACATAGTTTGTATTGGTTTAAGTAACATGTAAAATATACATTAAAAAGCTATTCGAATCTCGAGCTCCACGAACATTGGTCATGGAGCAGCTGATGGTTAAATACATGTAAGTCCTTAATTTATGTATATTTGCGCATACCTGATAAAATATTACGTCCGTACTACTTTTGTTATACATTAAGAAGAAAATATATAAACATATATGTAATGCTCTATTAACATATTCGTAACATTTACTGAACCCTAAAAAACAAACATGTAAACTTTATTATGTTTAAGTTGTGTCTACCTAGCATTAGGGAGACTTTGGTAAAAATCCAATGTAAGAATATATTTTTCAGCAAAATATTTTTATATCTGTTCAATGTAATTTTTGTTTTTGTTTTTTACTATCACAAAGGCCATTATATCATCAGTATCATAAGATAAGAAACACTTAGCTTACCATCAAACAATCTAACTCCTGGTGTCAAGAGATCAGATTTAACATTGAACTCTTCTGAAAGTTTCGTTTTCCACTCAGAAACATAGTGGGGTGCTTTATAGCTCTCTTTGCAGCCTGAGGTCGTTGTTTCTGGTGTGCTTTTTAAAACAACGTCAAAAGTTCTGTCCTCATCCACTTTGTCTTCCGATCCTGGTGATATAATCCTGAAACTACATTTGACATGTATGTAATTAAATATTCTTTTTTTTTTGTAAATAAAGCCCAGTCGACAGGAGTTTTTGATTTTAAATTGTTTTGGACGTGTATGCTGTAGTTTTCAATGGACTAGACAAGGGATGTTTGGATGTGTTCCTCGTAAATTTTGTTGTTGTTTTTTATCGTTGTTTGTTTTAGAATTTTTGCTTAAACCAACACAAGGGCTATCTGCGCATAGCCGTCCCAGCCAGTAAACAGTTTCCACTGTTAACTCGTGTGCTATCCCTTATTGACCGAATATGAGATTTGATCGTTACTTTTATACTACATTCACGGCCCAAAAGCGCAATGCGCGTTTATGTGTCAACTGAAAGCGAACCATGAACGTTTATTGGGTCAGTTACTTTTGTTTCAACCTTCTCCTATAAAGCTATTCCCACAAAATCTAATATATGTTCTTTACCCTAACTTATCTTCATATTGTATTTAAAATACTTCTTTAGGTTATGCCCTCCTCCCACTGACTTTAGGATCATAATGCTAAAAATCGGGTTTTGATACCCGTGGTGGGTACATATATCTCATTGTTTAGTTTATGCTTAACAATAAATAATTAGTTTAATTTGTTGAATTTTGTGCAAAGCTACTCGATGGATGACTGCACTAGCCGTCCCTAATTTAGAAATGATAGACAAGACAGAAGGAAGCTAATAAACACCATCCACCGACAACACTTGTGCTATTCTAATCGAATAGTGGAATTGACACTAACATTATCACATCCCCACGGCTGATAGGGCGTTCATGTTCGGCGATTGGATTCGAACCTACGACCTACAGATTATGAGTCGAACGCCCAAACTAACCACTAAGTCATAAACCAGGTCCTTTGTGTTTTTTCCTCCTAGTCACGGCACCGCAGAAAAACCAATTAAAAAGATAGTCGACAAGATTCGAATTTTTCTTCCGCTGGAAGCTAAAGATACGTTGTTTCATTAAGATACGATTATCCTTTTTCTACTGAGTTAATTTTGAAACTATAACCTCCATTTAGTGATATAAAGCTTGTACAAGCATAAGGTACGATACAATATTATTTAATTAAATTATAACAATAAAGCAGAAAAATCCTGTGTTTTTTTTGCTATCTTAGATATGTTCCAAACTCTTAAAATGTTTTATACAAAATTTAAATAACACACCTTACAAAAAATTGTTAGAAGCAGAAATAAGACATATGACTCAATACAGTTTGAAGAAAAATATGTTGAATTTTTAATCACTATCACATGATGATTTTATTTCATTAAAAAGCTAACAGGGTTGTTACTTTGAATATGTTCTTACCGGTCAACATAACAATTAATTAAAAGTTAAAGTTTATGTTTACAACGATCAAATTAATTTCAGTACTAGATTGTATCAATATTTAGATGGAGAATCACGTTTCGTAAAAAATCCTATTAATTTATTACATCTTTTTCTATCAGCAAAGATAATAAGAATAAGAACGAAATTTATTACATATGTGTCTTCTTCTAAAGAAAAACTTGGTACAATGATATTCAAATAACTGGTTTAGCTGCTATTGCTGTATTTCAGGTTTCTCAGAACAAAGAGAGAGAGATCCTGTAAAGAGTGAATGGTGGTTTTACTCTTCCTTTGATTTTAATATAACTTGGAAAACTAGAGCAGTTATTTCGAATTTTCGGTTTGATAATCACCTGAGGCCATAAATCGATATTACAGCCAGTAAAAGCTAACAAAAATATTTTAAAGGTGAAACTGACTACCCGTCTATAGTGTTTGAGAAATACCAAAAGTTTGTAACGGTACGTAGGTCACAATTAAGACGACATTGGTATTAGTTGTGTTACTCCGTATAATTCAGTATTTGTGTATAATGAAAGTCTTGGGATAGCGCGAGGCCCTATCTAGCATTTAAAAAAGTTTCACGTGAGAAATAAGAATAAAAATTCTAAGAACTTGTGAGCGAAAGTAAATAATAATAAATAAAAATACGTCAACCACACAACATCTGCCATATCCATTGCCTACAAGGAATTTCCCCTAATACAATTATGGTGTGAATTAGATTAACATGGTGAAGTGTAACTCATAGAACTTTTTATATGAGTCATTTATAAATTATGGATCTTAACGCGCCAAGAAAGTCAGGTAATCAATTAAAAGAAATGTATGTGATTTTCGTAACTTATTTACCTGTCGGTGCAAAATGTAAACAGAAACATTTATAAGATGCCATAAAGAAATGTATGTGATTTTCGTAACTTATTTACCTGTCGGTGCAAAATGTAAACAGAAACATTTATAAGACGCCATAAAGAAATGTATGTGATTTTCGTAACTTATTTACCTGTCGGTGCAAAATGTAAACAGGAACATTTATAAGACGCCATAAAGAAATGTATGTGATTTTCGTAACTTATTTACCTGTCGGTGCAAAATGTAAACAGAAAAATTTATAAGACGCCATATTTTAGTTTATATGAATAACTAATTTGCATAACAAAGTTATCTATGGGAGGCGCGTGTCCAACACCAAATTGAAAAAAAAAAAAAAATAAGTTATGCATTTTGTAACAGAATTAGTGAGCTATCGACTTAAGTGCTAAGTAGCATTATAAAATTTGAGCGTGTTTGTTTCAAATTTTATGTAGTTTGTTCGTTATTGAACGTAGTTTGTGTATGGGAAACTAGATGGTGCTGAAACTAGTTATTAAACTTACTGTGGGGCTCATTGTAATTATTCAACTATCTTCTGAGCAGAATGCACCTTAACGAATTATAAACCGCATGCTCTAGGCTTAACATGAGTTTATTTTGCACCGATGCATAAACTCAGATGTGTTCTCAGAGTTCCTATTTTCAGTAAATTTCAATGTAAGTTCAAAAACTTAAGACAAACAATACAATCAATTTTAACTAAAAATTAATGTTTTGGTTGAACTGAAGTTTACAGCCGAAAATATCTTCAACAGCGAGGTCACTCAACTGAAGAAACAATGTATATCTGTCTTTAAAAGTAAGAACCTCAGAAAAATATCATGTTGATGTTTGATTTTGCTGTTAGTAGGTAGCTTGTTCAGATTGGAAGTTAACTTTGTTTCACCCTCATTTGCCGTCAAGGTTTACATCCTGGTATATTTATATACCAGAAAAAAGAAATGTTTTGGGGAATACATAAACTATACCGAAAGTTGTTTTTATAAACTTGTTCATTCAGATGCACTTATGAGAAAATAATAATTTTATGCAAAAAGTGATGCTCCATAACTGAAATGTGTTTGAAGTATCACTACACACACACTTCTTCTTTTGCGAAGACCCCTAACGGGCTGAATACAGAAAATAGTGTTTGAAAATAAAATAAGCCTAATACTATTGTTGTATGGCAATTAGAATTAATTCAAAACATAAGTTTTTGTATCGATTATTATTTTTCAAACCATTTTTTATAATTCCTGAGATGAAATAAATAAAAATATTCATTTTTTGTAATTTACGGTGTTTATCCGTAAATTGAAAACGTTATAACTTTATTGAATAAAATACCAATGGATTAAATATTAAATTTTGTAGTACGATTTAATCATTTATTTAATTATACAGAATTAGCTATTACATTATTTAGTGATGATTACAAAGGTACAAAATATTTGCCGCTAATTAAAAAAGACGAACTTTTAAATTTAATTGAAGTATGACTAAGCTAGTTTCAAATGAGTTTAAAGCTCTGTTTATTACCATGTAGTTAATTGTTTATATCAAACAGAATCATGTATTTTGTGATTAAGTAACTAAGGAGTTAAACTTATGACTGACGTCTTTAAATTCAACTCACTTATTCTTATTTTATGTTACTGCACTTGTTGATGTGTCAGTGGGAAGAGATTCTCTGGTAAGTTTTAATTCAGTCTTTTAAGTTTATAATATCTGTAAAAAATATTTTTTCTTTAAATATTCAACATTTGATTCATTTTATTATTTAGAAATAAATTCGTAGTTTACAAATCGCCAAAAACCTTTCCTCGTATTTCTTTCTAGAGGATTTTGTTTTAATTTGAGAGTTTTGAGCTGGTGCTCTTAGTCAAAATTCTATAAAACGTTTTTGGAGCTTTGTAACATATTCACTTGTTTGTGTCGCCTATGCGATTAATTATATTTCTACTTTGCTGTTTGCCATAGCAATGGATATACATTATTTTTTTTTTTAATGTAACTTTATAATTCATGGCATATCATATTTTAAAGGCCCGGCATGGCCAGGTGGTTAGGACGCTCGACTCGCAATCTGCGGGTCGCGGGTTCGCATCCCCATCCCACCAAACATGCTCGCCCTTTCAGCCGTGGGGGCGTTATAATGTGACGGTCAATCCCACTATTCG